CCCCATTCCACACACCGAATACTGCCTGTGTTTACAGCTTAGGGATCAAAAACTGGCAGCAAAGCCTAAATTTAGCCTTCACACATATCCTTATTACATGTCCTGTATCTTATTCACAACATATGCTGTTTTACTATTTTGTTTCGTTCCTTATTTTCCCAATTTTGTAGCCTTCTTAATCTCTGTTAATCCTTTCCATACTGAGAGATTCAGCACCGCTGTTTTTGCCCTTCTGTACCTCTAGTATTTCCTGCACAAATATACCCCACTCTTCCGTCCTTTCCTTTTTATACGTTTTGTGCTGTGTAACAGTGTTACAAAACGCATATTGTCATGGGGTTGTTTGTGTGTTTGTACGTTCCCGCGCTGTCGGGTATAATCTACGGGCTAGTGAAAGTTTTTACGGGTAAATTATTATCTCGGGAACCACGGGGTCTAGGGAGCTGAAATTTTAGGGTAATGACCCCCTGCCCACGTTCAACCTTGCCTATTTAAATTCAGCGTCCCCGCGCTCTTGAGTGTCACTGCTTCATTTTGGCAGGTAAACTATTAACTCGGGAATCACGGAAAGATATTCACCCTTCAAGGTTTCGAATTCAGCTTTCATGCGCAGGTGCGTGAAATTTTTAAATGTTTTCCAATGTTTGAACTATTTTTGCATAGACTGAAGTACGAAGCAGTGAAAATCATTAACAGGCTGCGTAAAATTTTTAACTGTTTTCCAGTGTTTGAACCATTTTTGCATAGATTAAAGTACAAAGTAGTGAAAATCACTAATAGGCAATCGTTCGATGGGCTAAATTGCACAACACGCATGATCGCATCGGCTAATCTGGTGCGCGCTGCTATTTATTGTTACCTTACGCCTACATATTTTTTGGTTATTCCTTCCCTACCATTTTACTCAGTTACATTCTATTTCATTCCATAAATTATTCAAACAATTTTTTTCTAACTCAGAAAAATGGCTTCGTTCACATACTTTGATACTGACGGGTTTTACGAGTTCTACACGCTCCCCTTCGCGACTGTTAATCGCTGTAACAAGTGTGTTTTCATCCACAACATCAATTGCTGTAATACCGGCGAAC